CATTCCTTAAAGTTATCAATGAGACTAACTTTTACCTCAAAACTCACACCCCGAGAATGGCAGTAGGTTTAATATGAGTGAATAGCCAGCACTTTCTCTCTTATCCTTGGGTCGCACCAGAATACGAGGTTTCAGAAAATCCAGTGGAATGAGAAAGGGCACCGTTTTGCTCTTGATTCTCATGACCTCCATTGCTGATGACCAGCTCAACAGTGGGGACCGGCATTCAGGCCCCCTGACCATGGCAATCGGGGCTAACCTCTTTCATGCCCCATGAAGTCAGCCCCTGAAAGTCAGCCCCTCCTGGGACCACGCTAACACAGAGGCGTCTGAGCAGATTCAAGCAGTCTATATGGTCTGGAGACCCCAAAGCACTTGTGTCACTCCCAGGACTGAGAACTGCAACCATCTCTTTAGGTCAGACCAATTACTGGGTGCATACGGGGTGTGTGTGTGTGTGTGTGTGTGTGTGTGTGTGTGTGTAAATTTATTCAAATTTAAAATATTAAAAAAATTAAAATAGATAAGCTTTGTCTCTTTGTGAACATTGTATAAAGAATTTGAATATATAAATAACTTCAACAAATCAATAAGAAATGGATAGATGACCCATTAGAAAAACAGACCAAAAACTTGAACTGGAGTCCAAGAAAGAGCATATCTATCCAATGATCAACATGTATCTAAAAGGGTGTTCAACTTCATTAGTCACTGAAGAAAGACAAATTAAAACTCCAAGGTAATACCATTTCACACCACCAGGATTGTTAAAATGAAAAAGACAATAGCACATATTGAGAAGGAAAAGGAAAGACTGGATTTCTCATTTCCTGCTGAAATGGGAGGTAACTTGACACAACTTTGGAAAACTATGTGGCAGTATTGACTCACAAAGTAGATTGCATGCAAACCCCATGACCTAACAAAAGTTTCAGAAGACACGTATAAGAATGTCTGTGTAGGACAATTTGTAACAGCCAGAAATTAGCAACACTTCAATTGACTAGAGAAAAATGGATAAATAAATTGTGATGGGTATATACAGTGGAATAGCATACAGCAATGAGAATAGTGAAGACAATGAAACACACAATAATAATGTACCCAATAGTACGGATGAATCTCATAAATATGTCTGAATAAGAAAGTCATACAGTGTTTGATTCCATTATCACATAAAATCTTAAAATTTTTAAACATAGACAGTTATAGAGAAGGCCATAATAAACACCTTGGCATCTAATATTCAAGTTTAACAAACGTTGCTTTTTTCAGAATGCTTTTTTAAAAAGAAATAAGAAGATATACGTATGGTGAAAAACCTATATCTTATGTCATTCACCTTTCTTTCTCCTCAGGGTTAACCTTTACCTAGAGTTAGTAAGTACTTTTCTCAGTTATGCCGTTATAACTTTATTTCATATGTAAACATTTCTAAAACATATTTTTTTTGTTTTGATGTTTAAAATTTTTTCTTAAGTTGTATTATACTTATCCTTTGTCACTGCTCTTTTTGGTCAACATTAAGTGTTTAGATGTATTCATGTTTATTATCTAGCTGACTCATATTATATCTTTTTCATATCCATTTCTCAATTGATGGACGATTGAGTTGTTTTCTATTTTTTGATAATACAAGCAATACTTTGATTTTCATACATATACATGACTCCTTATGATATAATTGCATTCTCTAGGTTATACAATCAGGTAGGCACAGTATTTTCTACCTTGCTTGGGTATATTCACTTTAGTAGACAACTCCAGTCTTTGTAAGACCTTAAATCAACATTCAGTTGTAATACATTTACATCTTTACACCATTCACTCACACACAAGCACACATCTAACACTCTAAGCCAAGGTTTCACAAAATAACACTTACCTTATAATGCGTGAAGCACTCCTGTGGTCTCCGTGTTGTTCCATTCCATTCTATTTTATTCCTTTCTTTTTAAATATTTTCTGATGTTCGTCAGTACAAAGCAAATGGACTTCATAATTTAGTAGCGATTCTGACCTAATGGTTGAAACATTGCTCCAGATGTGTCTGGACCTTCAAAACCAAAAACAAAAGAAAAAAAGTCTTACTTCAGCCTGACTCTAATGAGAAAATTCCTTCCAAAGTCCATAGAGATAAGGAAATTCCAATCTCAGGGAATTCTGCTCATGGTTTATCCCTTGGAATACAGGGTGTTAACTATCATTCTTGTTGAATCCACATCAAGAAAGCAAGATAATTTATCAAAACGTTAAACCTTCACATTCTCAATCAATCACCCTCCTACACTGATGTGTTAAAAAGGTGACGTTCCTTCCTTCAATTTGTGACACACAGATGAATTTGTCTCTTTTTCCTTAAGTGAGGTCAAAAGAAGATGCACTCCTTTGGCCTTCAACATCCTAGTTTGACCATTTCATTAACTTGAGAGGGTCAAATTTGAAAAATAAAAATCATTTCTCTATTTCATGTGATGTTCCCATGTGATGGGAATAACTGAGTAAGAACAGTAACAATAATAATAACAATCAGTAATTTTGTGTGTGTGATGATTATTTGACTACTTGACATTTCTAGAGATACAGGGAAAATCATTTAGAACACTATTTCTCCAACTGCTTTAGCCTGTGAGCACATTAGAAATACAGACTGAAAACAGCATTCTCATTGGCTGTGGATATGGGTGTGAGAAAGCTGTGGGGAAATTTGGGGATTTCAGTGAAATGCTGTTCTTGATTCTGATTTTACCTCTATCACCATATAAAAAGTAAAGCTTAGATAGAACCTAACATAAAGAGGTGAAGGAATCCCCTTACTTAAATCAGATGTTTTCCTAGAGCCTTATGCAAACACTTGCTCCATGAAGGTATAACGTGCGTGGGAGACTCCATATGCTGTCTCCTTGTTTTATTTCCTCTTCACTATCAGGTCTGCACTACAGACGTAGAGACAAACATGCCGTGAAAACATAAAATAGAGTGGTTGCTTTTAATTCTCTTTTTTCCCCCTTCCCTCTCTTCCTTGACTTTCTGTTTTCTCTCTCTGGCCGTAAAGTAAACGGAGCTGATGAGTCATCGAAAAACAGCAAGAGTGGTGACTCATTTCTCAGGAGTTGCAGTACGTGGCATTTCATATACATAAAGCATTTAACCAGTGATTATCCTTTAGCTCAAAATGCTAACATAAGATATGTTTTCTTCTATTTCCACAAATCCATTTGACATTATTATCGTGTAGGGGAGGAAAAGTTTCCAACTTATTCACGGCAACAGATCTATATGATTAGTGACTTTCTTCCTTTTTATATTTGGGAGTTTCATTGCCTTTAGAGTTATAGCTGGAAGTTAATTTTGGAAAAATGTTTTTCTTTTTTTCCCTTAATTCTGTCAGAAGGACCACATTTATTGCTGCTATTATAGGTTTGCCAATGCATTGTAAATCCAAATATATAACGTGATTTCTCCAGGTTTATGCTACTGGTAACCACAAAAACAAAACCAAATGAGCCTGTATGTCTCTCTTAGGTAGTTACATTTTATGAAAGGTACATGGACATTTTTCTTCCTTTCACAGGAGTGTCACCGTGCAGAAGTGTTCCAATGTTTCCATTACCAAAGTTAGGGATACAAATACAAACAGAAAACAAGTTTTGTGTAATAATCTTTTCCCCTTTTCACCTGACAAAACAAATGTGGGATGAGAAAGCTGGTCTACATTTGTCAAGATCAGTTTGCAATAATACCAATCAATTAATTAGTGTATACTTAATTAGTTCAATACATACCTCTGGTAGGTGACAAAATAGAGTGGCATTTTCTCAAGTTATTTACTTGAGGATATGCTGACTTCATTAACATTAGCATTGAGAATTTAGGCTGTGTTACAAAAACTGACAATCTTAAGTTAGTATTTTTATTGATTTTTTAAAACCTGACATCTATCTATCTATCTAGGAGGAATTACCTGAGATATCTAGGAGGAAAGAGGAAAACGAACAAACCACTAAAATGCAGCACACACTGAACCATAATGCTATGAGACAGCTCACAATTGCACATAGTTCAATGGAAACATCGTACATGATTTTGTAAGGTTTCATTAAGGTGATTTTCATTAAGGTTTCATAAAGATGAATCACCACTGAAGCTACTGGGACACATTTCCTTTCCTTGCATCAAGTGGGAAATTTCCCATGGTACCTGTTCCGTGATAGCTGCTACTCCATTAATCCTTTCATCTTATAGTTCTGGTTTAGTGTTCAAATTCTCTAGAATGTCAAAGGTCTATTTGTAGCAAAGTTTATATATAACTTATTCTATTAAAAGAATTAATGTACATAGGCCTTCCTCTGATGCCAATATTTTCTTTGAATGTCACAAAGATCGTATTTCTAACATTAACTAAAATTTTAAGACAATCTAGAACTTTATTTCTTTCATATTTCATATTGATAGCAAGCTGCATGCAATCACAAAATATCTTTTATTTTGAAGGCAAGAAAAATGCTGGTGAAAAAGAAATAGAAAATAATCCAGTACTGTGTAACATTAAAAGATACAAATATACGTTATTTTCTCAGTTGTCACAAGAATTCTAGTAAGCGGGCTGACTAGAAAATATTATCCTAATTTTACAAAAGTTGAAACAGATTCAGGGAAATTAAATATGTCCCAAAGCTCACATACTAATTAATGATGAAGCTGGGACTTAACCAAAGCGTTTTTTGGGTTTGTTTTGTTTTAAAGTTTATGATTTTTCATTTCATGATTTGTTTAACTAAAAAAGTGTGCCAATCATTGGTGTCAGGCTTGAGGAGTTTAGTACGGTATGCTTGAGAATCTCTTGCATTCTACTCCCCTGGAAAAAATAGTGCAGACTAAAGAGGGAAGAAAGAAAAATCTGTACTTCCATTTCTTTTCCTTTGTGCTGTAGGCTATGAGTTGGTTTAGAGAGTAGTTTTGCAAGACTTTGTTTTGGGCTAGGCCGGGCCCTGCATTTCAAACAAAAGGCAGCCAGTTACTAACTTCTGGTTGCTAGGTGTGGCCTCCTTTCAAATTCTATAAAATCAGAAGCCCAAGTTTTCACTTCTAGTCTGAAACAGCATTCAGAGGAGAATCTCTCTTCAGTTCTTTGGACAACGGTGAAAAAAAAGGTAAGTCTTGATTTTCCTTTCAGTTAGTTTTGGATGTTTTGAAAACTTTTCTCATCACGATGTTTAATGTTGCTTCTTCTGTGGGATTTGTAGCTAGGTGCACTTAATATGTCTGATAAAACTTTCTGTAAAACTACATTGGCTGGTTATATTTTGGGAATCACAAATTGTAATGTTTAGTTCACTTGGTTAAGAAATACAATTTTAAAAATGAGGAAGTTTTGCTTAATAGTGGTTTATTGTACTGTTGGTGAGTTACCATGGAAAAGAAGGAAAGAATGTGTTTTTTCCTACAAGTTATGAATTTCTGAGAACTGTGTGTGTTTTACGTGGAAATCATGATGGCTGTGGGTGTTTTGGGGGGGCCAGGCCTGAATGGAAGTGCCAGAGGTGGGTTTCAGAGAACCATTTCAAAATAGCAGGGCTTAAATAATTTTTCTTCTTTTGTGAAAAAAAAAAAAAGAAAGAAAAAAAACCCAGAATAGATTCAGATCTCATAGTGGCAATCATGTCCTTTGTAATTACGTTTTGAAATTAATGTTATGTTCACTCATGCAGTGTAAATAAATAGAAGATCTGCTTATGAATCGTTTCATTTAGAGAGGGTGTGGCCACATTCTTTCTCTTGGAGTCTCTGTGTCATAGACAGGCTTTTCAAGTGCTGATTTGAAAACCTAAGGGGACAGGAAATATTTCCTGGGTGGTGTCAGATAAGTTATCCCTTGGGAATGCCAGTAGGGCCCTCTAAATATTATTATACTTAGTAGCATCTTGATTGTTCAATGAGTTAATGGCCATAAAACTCCTTAGCAAAGCAGAAAGCGTATCTAAAGCAGAGTTTTTACTGGTGTTGGATGTATGTACAAAGTGGAGAGACTTTGAATCATAACCATATATCTGGCTATTGATTATTACAAATGTTCCTTCAAGATTTCTTTTTCTTAGCTCATTCTGAATGGTAAATGACCTGATATCTTTTAGTGCTAGTAAATTAAGAAAGGTGTGCAAATTTTCTTGCCTTGTTTGTGTCTACAAATATGCATGGATTTTGAAAAAGCAATATTCTCCACCCACAGGAATATATTTTGGTAGGTACGTTGCAAAATGACTCAAAAGTGGTAAAACGCTGGCTTCATAATTCTGAAATGGCCTCTTCTCTAGAAGTTATGTTACCGCCCTAGCCCCAGGCTCAGCCACCTCTGGCAGAAATCCAGTGTTTAACTGATGTTGACAAAATCCTTAATAATATTATTAAGGAACCAGCTAGAGTTTCATGCTTATTAAATACTTTTTCAATCAAAAGATCTGTAAAGTCTGATTTCTGTACATGATGTTAGATTGCTGAGCTGGTTCTTAATCCTCTCTAGACCCGTTCATCTATGACATACTTAAAAATCAGTACTACACCAATGGACCTTATTTTTCAGTGATAAACCAAAAGCCATTTTTGGAGTAAATTATTTCCTCTTTCTTTAAAATGGGATGGATTTTTATCAGAAAGATCAGAACAGATACAATTTCTATAATATCTTCCTTCATTATGCTAATTTTCTCCATCTCCATCTACTTGAGGTGAAATTTAAGATTGGTACTTCAGAGCTATAATGAATCTTAGCTACTGTGTATTTCAACACTCCTATTTTTATAAATGGAGACACCCCCCGCCCCGAGAAGTTAAATGTTTTCTTGAGGTCATACAACCAGTTAAAGAGATTCAAAATAGGGCTCAGAACTCCTTACCTCTTATTTTTATATCCTCTAGTTGTCGATAGGAAACATTTGTTAAATTAGTATAGACATGCTCCCTAAATAATCAGCACCCATACACTATTTATCCATTCAATAATGCTCATTAGCATACTAAATACCAGGTACTCTGCCAGAGGTTGGAGGTTCATAATCAATAGTAGATTATCATTGCCCCCATGGAATGCTGCTGTAAATAGAGACAGTGATCATGCAGAACAACAGGGGTAAGTTAGGGGGAAAGGCAGGATGCTTTGGGAGAGCACCGATGGTCACTCACCCCAGGGCTGAACCAAGGAAGGCCTCCTGGGGGACGCGATGAGGCCCACGCTGAGTCCTCACTTAGAGGCACCATTTAGGTAAAGGGTAGTAGGCCTGGAGGGTGAAACAGCATTCCAGGCAAAGGGAACACCCTGCTCAAAGACCTAAAATCAAAACATTATGAGTTTACATTTCATAAAGTAATTCTTCATCAGTCATGCCATTGTACAGTTTAATTGCCTTTGCTCACCTGAGTAGGTGTGGGAAAGACTTGTGCAATATATATTTGAGGAAAAAAACTGCACACAGGCCAAAGCATTGAAAAATACACGCCCTAGGGCTGGGGTGAAACCTGCTACAGGCTCCATGGGTTGACTGTGAATGAATTTGATTGTTAAGTGTAAGCTACTAAAAATAACATTGATCTTGTCACTGTATTTTTGGGCCCTAGTTTAAACGAATATACAATATTTTGGAATCAGAAGGCATGGATTTATGAATGCCTCAATGCTTGCCACTAGTATCTAGAAAACTGATACGAAAAAAATTATACTTTGTTTTCCCAGGTAGACGGTGGGTACAATGACGGTGTCCTTGCAAGGATTCATTTCTGCTCCTATCATTGCAGAACTCTGGTCTTACTTGCTTGTCACCAGGAAGGCATGATAGACCACAAACCTCAGTTTCCTCTGTCAGAAGTTCTGGAAATAGCCTTTCATGAAGCTGACAGAGACAGATATTGCAGTTTTTAAAAAATTTACTCTGTTCTTTTGTAATAATTTCAAACCTTTAGAAAAGTTGCAAGAATATCGCACAGAATTACCATATACTTATTACCCAGATTCCCCAACCGTTAACCTTTCACCACATTTGCTTTAACATTAACTCTTCCTTTTCCTGCTTCCACCCTCTCTATATAGTTAATTTTGTCTGTATCATTAGAGAGAACACACAGATATGATGTTCCTATGTCTCTAAAAACTTCTGTCTGTATATATTAAAAAATAAAGACATGATCATAGTGCAAAAAAAAAAATCAGGAATTTAAATTTGTTACAACAAACCAAATTTTGTCTCAAATTGTCCCAGGGGTAAAATTGCCAATGGACCATTTCTAGAATACCTTTCTCTTACATTTAGTAAGCATGGCTCCCTCTCTTTCTAGCATCTTGAGCATACTTTTTATGCATATTTACCATCTTTAATTTCTTGCTGAATGAGAGGAAGAGCCCTCTCTTATGACACATAAATACATGAAAAATGTTAATCTCTAGAAATTTACACAACTTATTCACAGTTAAGTGAGACTGGTTTGCAGTGTATGTTCACAAACAGATGATTAATTAGAAGACCTCTGGAACATTATTAATTTCCATATTGGTCAGCCAATTTCATCTTCAAATTAGATGATGTTAAGGACTGAGATAAACTTGGCTTCAGAGCTCACTGGTAGCAAAATTAAATGCATATTGAACCAAGGAAAATTAAATACTTAGTACTTGCTCTTAAATACTTAGTACATGTTCTAAACATTGCAAGTAAAAAGAAAGACAGAAAAAAAGAAAAATCTTTTGTGAACTATAGGGTTCTTTAAATTTTTTTTACTGTACAATTCTAATTTCTACATCAGATCATTCTCTGAATAGTAACAAATATTTGTATAACATATAGCAATCTATAAAACATGTTTACATGTTGTATGTATTTATAGTTAAGAAATTTTGCCTTCAAATGATCAAATGGGTTTTATCAAGTACAAAATGCTGGTTTTCAGGTGGAGGATAGGTATTGAGCAGACAGAATGGTTTAGCAATACAATTTGAGCAAAATAGTTTTGCAGCGGTATTGGTAAGGTGTGTTGCAACTGTTAAAGGTTCTGTTGATACATGCGGTTGTGTTTGAGCACTTAACTAGAAGTGCATGATCAAATCTATTTTCTTTAGGGCAATTTTTTACATCCTGCCACAATCCTTGTGTCTTTAAGCTTTGCTGATAGCTAATGGATCTTATTTGGAAGAACTGAGATTCTACTTTCCTCTAATTGCTTTCCTGAGGCAGGTTCTATTCAGGTTGCTTTTCTTTTCCAGAGCCTGTTCCAGACCATATTTTCAGGCCATCCAAATGACTTCAGACTACAGTCTAGGAACACAGAGGATATGTCCCAAAGCTGTCTCCTCTATGGACACTCTTGTGTCAAATACATTATTCAACCCCTTTATTTTTGTTATTTTGTGTTATGTAATTAATAAAGCAATATTATTTTTCTAGGCTTTCTCAAGTTTATTTTTTTAAGACATTGATGAATTACAGAAGTATTTCTTTAAAAGAAAAAAAACTGCGAAGTGCAGCGCAGTTTTCATGAAGTTTATTTTGAAGCTGTGTGGCTCATTTTTAAAATTGTATTTGGCAATAGCCTTAAACTCTTTTGAAGTTTTTCTTTTCTAATTGAAACGAGTGGAAATATTGGAATACATATTTCTATAACTGAGGAGAAAGTACTTGGTTCAGTGACCAATCATATCACTTATTTTGAGGATTCTACTTTATAAAGGGCATGGAGGAGATGGTAAAAATGGAAATTTTAAATACCTGAAACCTTCCTGGAAGTTGCAAGTTTTGAATGTGCCAATTAAGCAACAGGAAAATGAAACTCCGCATGCCAACAGCAATTGTACCAGATCATAGTGTAATAGGAACTAAAACCTTGTGCAAAACTGTATGCCATGACTCTGTCTCAGGAAATAACTTCAAATTTATCAATTGCTGGGGATGGAAAGAGATTAAATGAATGCACAATGTATTGGTTCTTCTCACAGATGACAGAACAGTAATTTGAATGATCCCCACGATAATTAAGTGGAGATCGTTTCTGCTGTGGATATTATTTCCCTTACGTATTTAATCTCATTACTTGGAACTGCAGCTATTTTTCAGCAGGTGTGGATTGAAACACTTTGTCTGAACATGCTGTTAAGGAATCAGGTTATGGGTTTTACTTCTCACGAGTCATTTAGCTTCATATAAAGAATTTAAAACTGTGCTAGGATTATCCTTCCAACAGCCTTCAGACGTACTCATGAGAAATAAACAAAAGAGAATGGAGAGCTAGGTCAGTGGAGACCAGGAGCATGGGCTTCTAAAGACACAATCCTAGACAAAAAGGATCATTGATGGCTTCTTTTGTAGATAAACAGGAGAATGCATTAATTTTCACCATACTTTAGGTTTTAAAAGCATACATGGCTTATTAAATAAAAATATTGCTGAACCATGACAATAATTCAAGAAATTTTCTTTAAGGTAGAGTTTTCCAAAAGAGGGCACACATGGTGCAATTTCACTCTACTGAATCCTGTTACAGCAAAGAACCTGATATAAAATTAGCCTTTTCTGGGTTGTGTGTGTGTGTGTGTGTGTGTGTGTTTTGGGTAAAAAAACACATGGAGGACTAGTGTCTAGACACCTCAAATAGGAAGAAATGTGAGTGTAGCAATTACTCCGGGTGCTGAAATAATTTTATACCAAGGAACGGAAAAGGAAACTGAGTTAGTCTAGGGAGAAATGTCACTGGAATACCTTTTTACAGATAGTGTTTTGAGTCTGAATCCACTCCTGCAGAAATGGGTTATTTCACTTTATAAATGTAAATATTGTGCTCTTTTTCTACCCGTTACTTTTGTTCAAGTCCTCATTAATCCTATATAGATTCTCTCACAGCTTACTAAATGGTCTCTAATCTTCCATCTTGCCCATCTCTTGGCCATTCTCTATGATACAAGATGAATGATCTTTCTGAAATACAACTTTTTAACAAAATCTAATCATGTTTTCCCAAAGCTTTGAAAATACATTTACAGTTTATTTATTTATTTTTTAAAGTTTGGGCTTCGGTTAACATTTCTTGCTCCAGTAAATTTCTTTCAACTTCCTAAATATGACAAGCTTCTCTCTGTTTTGTTCTCTTTAGCTTTTCTGCCAGGCTGATCTCAATTCTTCCTGAGAGAGGCTCAGATCAGCCAGCACCTTCTCTGAGAACTGTCCTTAGCTTTTGAGTTTTCTTATGGAGAGCACACAATGCTTTTCAGTTCTTTTGAGGCATAGGATGTTTCAGTATTTTTGCATCCTCAGTGCTTGGCATATGCAATAGATGGTTTATAAATCTGGAGTAATGAAGGGAGTCACCAACTCTTCCCTCAGCCTATATGCTTACTTGTAGAAGTCATCTGATCCCTAAGGTTAGGACTGAATACGCCGAGAAAGAGCCAACTTTCTGAGTTGAGGCTTCTGTTCAAGGGCAGTAGACACTCTGTTTTAAATAAAACCTACATCTAGCATCTTATGATGAGCCTAAGAGCAATCCTGGACAGTAAGGGCAAAACTACTGTATATCTTGTGTACTTAAGAGGGGTGGGGTGGTGTGTACGTATGGTGGGTTTGTGGTTTGTAAAAGCATCCATCTGCTTTTTTCCAGATCCTTCAAAAATGGCAATGGTATCTGAATTCCTCAAGCAGGCCTGGTTTATTGACAATGAGGAACAGGAATACATCGTAAGTCAAGTGACAAGAAAATAAACTTAGTTAAATAGTAAAATAGGAACTAATGCAAGTGAATGGACAGTAATGTATTTCTCTCTCATCCACAGAAAACTGTGAAAGGATCCAAAGGTGGTCCTGGGTCAGCAGTGAGCCCCTATCCCAGCTTCAATCCATCCTCGGATGTTGCTGCCTTGCATAAAGCGATAACAGTTAAAGGTAATTATATCTCCCCAAAACATTCTCCTCCTGGACATTCCAGAATGGCTGTTTGAATGGCTATGAAAACCATACATGTGCAATGGAAAGAGTGTTTCATTTGGAAGATAAAAAGACTTCTTTGTCAACGAATATAGATATCCTTTCTCAGCACTCAGGAAATTTTGGTCAAATCAGTAGAATCTCTACTGCTACATCAGATATCCCTACCAGCTCATTTCTGGCAGAGACTCAATGCTAAAGCCAACGCCTCTGCTCATACTTAGGGTTTGAAAGAGGAAGCAAACACTGTAACACTGAGGCTTAGGAACAATTTCCTCTCCCTTTCTCATTCAAACAAATGGAAGTCATCTGAAGGGCTTCCATTTGATATGTACTGTTCCATCCATTTGATTTAATTTGTACTTCTTAGTTTTGTTAAGAACTTCATTTGGAGCATCTTGATAATGAATTATTTTATGTCAGATATTAAGGACGAAGAAAGGTGATTTTAAAAGTCTAGGTGCCCTTTATTTCCAGGTGTGGATGAAGCAACCATCATTGAAATTCTAACTAAGAGAAACAACGCACAGCGCCAGCAGATCAAAGCAGCATATCTCCAGGAAAAAGGAAAGGTAGGTTATAGTGGTAAATCGAGACAGTAAATGTCAGCCATACTTAGGTTTAAAAATAGGTTTGAAACACAGTTGCCTAGTTCTTTCAGTCTCTAGTCACTATTTTCCCATTACAACTAAGACTGGGGTTGCAATATTGCCATGTAATCAATTCTAGCAGATTTACTGGTTTTATACATTGTTTTGTCATCTTGTTCTTTGCACATGTGGTATTCCATATTGGAGACAAGACGTTAATCTGAACATGACAGATATTAAGATTACTATTGGCAATAAGGAAGATGTTCTGATCATGTCTTCTGCTAAAATTTAAACTGAGCTGTTAAATGTCCGAATGTAAGTTTATACATATAATTCTACTTTAAAATTAAGCTTTATATTTTTTATACCAAATATGGGTACTTTCTTTAAGGAGTGCAGTTAGAGAACTATAAAATGTCAATGTCTGATTATGGTGCTTTTTTGAACAGTGCAAACCTCAAAGGTTGGAAAATTTATTAATACATTATTTGTAAAGAATTCTTACTACTGTTTCTGTTAATACACAGCTCCAATCTTTTGAGCTTTGTGATTTCTTCCCTATATAAAAGATTGAGCACCCTATCTTTTAAGAAATTATACACAAATATAGATCTAAAAGATTAAAATAACATGAAATATTGGGTACCCCTTTCCATGTAAAAGTAAAGAGCTTTAAAAGATGGTTGGGTTTAGGATTCGGTAGGAAGACTACCTAAAGATTAGGTACCATCACATTACCTAGCATATCATTTACTAGAAGGTTATAACATCTCTTTGTTGTAGCCCCTGGATGAAGCTCTGAAGAAAGCCCTCACAGGTCACCTTGAGGAAGTTGTTTTGGCTTTATTGAAAACTCCAGCCCAGTTTGATGCTGATGAGCTCCGTGCTGCTATGAAGGTAAATCGCTTGATTTAAGCAAAACTGTTTTTCCTCAAGAGAATGCATAGGTCAATTCCACTTATACCTCCTGTTGTATTCTCAGCATCTAGTACAGGGCTGTCAATCAGTGGAAATGAAATGAATAAATAAACATCGGTGATAACTATGTTATTTCCACTACCCTTGTGATGTTACACTATGTCACAGATCTCACTTCTTATATGTTTGCCCAAAATACTAGCTTTAAACCCATTTGTTTTTAGAGCAATATAATAGACCTTATTGAAATTATTAAATACTGTGGATATTTACTAAGTATTGTGGGAAATTTACTAAATATCAGATTTAAACAAATTTGGGAACACCAAAACTAGTTGATGTTCATGAATGAAGATTTTTCTACATTTCTTTTTTTCTTCTTTTTCAATTCAGGGCCTTGGAACTGATGAAGACACTCTGAATGAAATTTTGGCATCAAGAAGTAACAGAGAAATCAGAGAAATTAACAGAGTCTATAGCGAAGGTAAGTTTTTTTGTGTCCAACAATCTAAATGTTTTAGTTTGAAAGGAAATCTGTTATACTTCTCTTAAAATTGAGTGTGGCTTTTAATTATGGGGACTTTGGAAACTACATATTAAAATATTTCTTCATTGTTTGGCACGTGTCTACCACATGCCCACACTGTTACCAGACATCTCAGTTGCTGAGGTGCAGATAAGGGACACAGTTGTCCCAGCCCTCATCAGGTGTGCACCTTAATAGAAAATGCGGGACAAATGGCCACATATAATTGCAATGGAAAACTCAATTCAAAGCACTGAATTTAAAGAATTTTCTAAAACCATTTCCTATTCCTCTGAGATTTATTTTGTAAAAATTTCTTGTTGCCTTTTATTTTGAAAAGATAACAAAAAGAATTTCCAAACCTTTGTCCTTGAAACGGTAAAGAGCTAGGTGCTTATAATGCTCTGATGGAAACTAACTTTACTATTATGAACATAAATGACTCACTTACTCTCTATGTCCAGTCAGATCCATGGGGATGAAAGAGAAGCCATGGCTCATTTTATTTACTCAGTGAAACATCTTGTTTAAATGACACTTTCAATACTGTAAAGGGAGTATCTGCAAGCGGGTTCTGGGCAGTGCTGGGCCTTTCACTACTTTCCTTTTATAATTTCCCAAGACCCAGCTTTTTGTTTTCCAATATGTGGCACCACAGAGGGTCTTGCTGCTTGGTTTTCATCCCAAGCACAGGGAATACAATTGCCCTTGTGTACTGTTTTCAGAGCAATCTAATAAAGGAATCAGAATGAGGAAGTTTTAACCTCATTTTCTGCAATTCTTATCTCATTACCAATATTTATCTTAGATCCATTTATCAGTGATAATCATCAAGAGGGGGATTATTCTTAGTTTTTTTTTAATAAAACATAGTTTACAAAGGTAAATATCCATATTTCTCCATCATTCTCAAGGCGTAGTTCAATGATGGCTTATTATATTGTTCTGTCTTCTAGTCAGTTATAAATTCAGTTAATTTTTTTCTAACACAGCGTTATTTTGCAAGTGAGGTGTTTAGACAAAGTTTAAAATCTATATATAGATGTATATACATATACGTATGCTTACATAGTTAAACTATATTACATAGAAGATATTTATCATTTTTAAAGTAAATAAATGATCTGTGTTCAAGCAAGTATCTCTGGTTTATTCTTTTAAATAACTGTTTTATTCATACCAGTGCTAAACTCTGGTATGACTTAGTAATGTATACCAATGCAATTTATTCTTGATAGCTAAAGCTTTAGGACTGTAGGTTTTCATTCACAGTATGACCTAAATTGCTTTAATTGCCCTATAGGAAATAAATTTGATGATCAAAATTTTTACTTGCTCTGATTTCTCTGTTTTTATTAAAAAATGGTAATATATGAAATGTGTTTCAAGAGTCATTAAACATTTGGCTTTGCAAATTGTGGGCCATTATGGAGACATTATTATTATCGCCATTATTTATCACTAGTTGACTGTAAAATATATTTCTCTTATTAGAATTGAAGAGAGATCTGGCTAAAGACATCACCTTTGACACATCTGGAGATTATCGGAATGCTTTGCTGTCTCTTGTTAAGGTAAAACTCAAATAGTTCAGGAAATGCCTCTTCTTTTATGAAAAGTAAAATCTTAAATTTCACCTCTCTATAGAAATGAGCAATTCACTTTTTCACAAAAAAAATACTAGTCATCTGATTTGAAGGGAATTAAGTAAATCGTGTGATTACGTGCTAGAAGATTACTTACAAGAGAACGGGATATTTTTCAGGGTGACCGATCTGAGGACCTTGGCGTAAACGACGACTTGGCTGATTCAGATGCCAGGGTAAGCAAGTGCTCCCAATCCTCCTAGAATCCACCTTCCTTCTTCAGATCGGTCCTATCCTGAGCTGAGGTACCACCTGAGCTTCTCCGACAGGACAAGGGCACCTAGAGTCCTTTCTCCAAATGATGCCCACTGTCCTGCCCTTGTGGGGCCCGAGAGAGGAAGTGTGGCCTTTGTATATTCAGTAGATGGTGAGAGAGACTGGAGAGAACAGTGAGATTTTGGTTTGTCATTCCCATGAATTGTTTTGTCGAGAGAACTCTTGAGTTTTTATTTTACTAGGTATAAGAAAGGGCCAAGAAATAGTTTATTAAGGAAAGTGGAAAGAATAGGCCTTTCTAACATTCTTCAACAGTGAGCACTGGAATGGTTCAGAGGTGTAAGTTTAATAAAAATATTATGATAATGATATTAGAATTATAAAAAATAGAACATATTTATATATTTTCAAGTATATTGTTATCTATAGTTTCAGCAAAGTTGCTGGTTTTTTATATATACACCAATCCATTAGCAACATTAGAAAAATTATATCATTTTAGGGCCTGGAACTTTTGTTTAAAAAAACAAACAAAAGACAACTATTACTTGCATACACCTTGCTCATGGGATAGTATTTGCTACAAATTCATCACAGTGAGTGAGTAAGAATAGAAACTGACTTGTCCACCCCCACTCCCTTCATTGTACCAGTATGTTATCTTGTACATAATAGGCACTCATTAACTTTTGTTGAATAAATGCATATATATCAGATGTTTGCTTAAAAAGTCCAGAATAACTTAATGTCCATTGGAAGTTTGACCATTTGAATATATTAGAAATTGTGTAATCATGTCAAAGAAAAAAGTTAGTATTTGAATAATTTCCATAATAAGAAATCACTCTTATTTGATTGTGACATTTCTGAATTTGCTTTCCATTTTAAGACTATCAGGGCTCTTAGATACATATTTATGGCAGCTACATGGATTAGTGTGATCCAGGAGGACGACGGTAATTAACATTTCAAAGTTAACAGAGCATGCTTGTGACTATAAGGCAAGGATTATCTTCCTCTTTTACAAAAGAGGAAATTCTGTAGTTTAATAAGGTCAACGTATTTGTCCAAGATTACAGAGCTATTAGGTTGCAGAGTCAGAATTTGAATCCAGAAATTCTAACATCAAAATTCAAGATCTGGTAATGGATGAATTGTTGATTTACTAGTACTGTTTGCTGATAATTACTTTAAACAATTAAAAGTGAAATTAAAAATTAGAGAGTCCCTTGGAGTTGTCTGGATACAGAACGTAAATCTTACAGCAATTTAAATCAACAGACATTTATTCTGCAAACATATATTCCATCTCTAGTGTTTGCAAGGCACCTGGAGAGACACCGTGGAAAATACTTGACAAAATAAGGTCCGCATCTTTAGGGAACTTGTAATCTTAGCATTGCCTATTCTGATTGTACTGGACACAAAGCAGCTGCCTCAAAAATCTTTGAAGAGCTCTCACATTCTTGTGCACATATCAACACAGCAGACAGTCAAGTGTTGAGTTTGGTGTTTCTTGACAGGCCTTGTACGAAGCAGGAGAAAGAAGAAAAGGGACAGACGTGAATGTGTTTAATACCATTCTTACTACCAGAAGCTACGCCCATCTTCGCAGAGGTAAGAAGAAAACAAACGTTTCCTGGGACCTGTTTACAAAAGATGCAATTGTTTTGAGGACCAATAAGAGAAGGGAAAGAGAGAAGTCTTACTCGGCGTCACTGTGGATGCTGTGCTTCTGACCCCTTATTGCTATTTCTGCATTTGTCCACGTTTGTACAGCCACCATTTTACAGTATTTGAAGCCCATTTTATGACTTTGGCTAGAAGAACATTAGTTCATTATTTTTACTATCTCTATTCGCCCAAATATTTGGAATCGGTCTGACAAAATGCACACATACAACAGAACAAATAAACTTACAATGAAGAAAAACAAAAAAAGCCTTTTCTTTAGAAAACAGTATATAGATGCTTGAAACAAAAACCAAAAAAGAGTCCTTGCCTTTGATCACAAGATTTAGCTCTGAGTCTTCTGGAAGCCAAGGCAAAGGGAAGATTGTGATGACTACCTAAAATTTGTTATTTTATAATAGCACTCTGATTGCTAATGTTAGAATTCAGAGAAATTTACTGCACAGATCTTTATATAAGGGAAAATCCATTTGCTATGACACTAGCTCTGATGTAGTGCCATGGCTGTCAATCATATGCCACTTATAATAAATGTCAACATTTGCAAGAATTTCCCCAAAATATACAGAAGCACCAAAATAAGCCATGTGAGTTACATTCCTAGGAGAAGATGAAGTATCCAAAATATGCTCAGTTGAATAATTAGCTTTAAAATGTGTGTTTTGAAGCTCCTAAGGAATGCTTTGACTCAGTTGCCCTGATTTTGCTAAAAGAAGAGGAAGTTTTGTACATCTCTTAGTTTAAATTTAATATTCAGTATTTCAGAAGTACTCCAAGTACAGTCAGCATGACATGAACAAAGTTCTGGACCTGGAGCTGAAAGGCGACATCGAGAAATGCCTCACAGTTATTGGTATGTAGTCCTGGAGGGGGCAGAGTTTTCTAACTTGAAATTACATTGCCAAGGCTGTCCCATAATTTATAAAACAAAATATAATAAAACAAAACAAAACAAAAACTAAGATATAATTTATCTATGTTTCAAATAGAGACAACTTGTAAGATAATGGCAATAAATACTTAAAGTTATACAATGGCCTTCTTAGTAATAACAGGTATTTCCTTTTTCAAAAAGACAAACAGGTGGACAATATTTACTGGGCAGCTGCTCACACCAAGCAATACACCGGGTTGGGTATGGCACGGAGGAAACTCAAAATGATTATTAAGAGCATGGGATCTGGAATTAGATAAATGCAGATCCACATCTTGGTCTGTCACTTGCTAATTGAGTAATCTTGGGCAAGTCCAGAGAATTTGTTTCAGTAGGTCTCTGGTGGCTTCTGAAAAGCTCTTCAGAAGAAAAAGATTTTAAAGGTTTCCCATTTTGTCAGATGGCCTGTCAAGGTTTGGGAACCTGCATTCTAAAGCAATGCTTCTCAAACACTAATATGCAAATGAATCCCTTGGGAATCTTGTTAAAATGCAGATTCTGATTCAGCAGGTCTGGGGTGGGGCCTGGGATTCTGTATTTCTCACCAGCTCTCAGTTGATGCCAACTCTTTTGGTCAAGACATCACACTTTGAGTATCAGGGTAGAGAATCTTGCTAATTGACAGAAGTTTCAGTGCTTTCTTTGGCAGTTGCCTTATATTTTAAGCCTGTCCAATTCCACTTAAAATTGTTTTCTTATTACAACATGAAAAAAGTATTTCTTGCATGCCAACATGCCCATTAACACCTAATGGTTTCCCTGTTTCCATGAAGAGTGTACTCAGGATAGCATGAATTACTGAAGTTGCTATTGGGTGGATTTAAGGTAACAGGAGATAAGTCACATTGTTAGGGGACAGAATATTCAAAATCACCATCTAGGGAATAGCTTTTTGTAAGCCAAGTATCCCATACTGGGGAGCAAAGTAGTGAGCACCAGGGATGGAGAATAGAGTCTTACTTGCAAAACTGTACTTCCTGTTTCTTTTTATATGCATGTTTCTCCTTTTGTGGTGAATATGTGGACTAAAATATGCCTCTCTTGCAGTGAAGTGTGCTACAAGCAAACCAATGTTCTTTGCTGAGAAGCTTCATCAGGCCATGAAGGTAGCCTTCTGCTTATATGATTTGCTTAGGGGAAAAAAATACTGTTTGTGGGGAGAAGAATGGAAAACCTATTGTTGTTTGAAAATTTCACTTATTTTAATATCTTTCCCTTAAAAAGAATTACCTTTCCATCCAATGTAAAGGGTAATACACTTCCTTATTAGAATAAAATTCTGCCAGATTTGTTATCTTTTTTAATAGGTAAGATAGTAAGGTGAGCTCATAGGTAATTTGTGGATTACTCATGATTTGCATAAAACCTGAGTCAGTAGAGGAAGGGTGAGATACCTTCTCTTTTAATGTATAATTTTAGCAACCTACTTCTGCCAAGGTTGTGAGTTTTACAATCTCCCCCTTTCTAAGTTTCATTTATCTTTTTTAGTATTCGGTCTTCCATGCCATTGCGTGGCTTAAAGTCACTCTAGGACTTTATTTAAAATGTTCTAAGATTACCGAAGTGGAAGGTGTTACTAAGATGTGTTTGAGATGCCGTTTAACCCCTTGACTTTAAAGTTACTGTCCAGCATGCATACTGTTATATAGGACCCCACCTATATACTCGTATTGTGAAAAGTTATAAAGTTGTCTCTTTTTTTCCTTTGCAACTCCCAAATAAGGAACTTTTCAGAGAGAAGTAATAGGAAGAGCCCCTATGAAGTGATAGGCATTGTGCCACTGGGTAGTAGGCAGTACAGCCCCCCTCAGTGCTGACCCCCTGCCCGCTGGGATCTAGTGAGGTAATCAGATGGGTAATGATGGACACCTAGCATTGTAAAAGAGCAGAAGAGGGACCTGTGCCCCAGACCTTGGAAACCAATGTAGACTTGCTGTCAGCTAAACTAAAACCTGATATTTGAAGAGGAATTAGCCAGATGAGAGCAGGAGTGGAAGAGATGAAGGGCTAAACCAAGTCTGGTCCAGGAGGAGGAGGTAGCATGTCCTTTTCAAGAGAATAAATATGATTAGAGTGATGGTATGTGGTGGAAGAAGTTGTAGAGTTAGGCAGGGCATTGTAAGCCCAGATAAAATAATTGATTTTCATCCTAAAAGCAACAGAAGGCCTTTGAAGAGTTTTAAATAGATGAATTAGATGATAAGATTTGCAATTTAGAAAGTTTATTTTTAATTAATGAATAGACAGAGGAAAGACTGGATGGTGGAAGACTAATTAGGAGGCTGCTGGTGTAGCAGTTGGGTTCTTCTGTTTCATTACCACTTGTACAAATTGTGTGTGTGTATTTTAATGTGGAGATAGTTTCTCCGTGAAACTCTATAGGCAAACCAAAAGCTTCACATTCAAACCCATATCCTGCCTTATTAAGAGGATGCTCTGAAGGTGAAGGACACTTACCATCACTTGCTTTGGACAGGGTGCTGGAACTCGTCATAAGACACTGATCAGGATTATGGTTTCGCGTTCTGAAATCGACATGAATGACATCAAAGCATGCTATCAGAAGTTGTATGGCGTCTCTCTCTGCCAAGCCATCCTGGTACGTTGTGATTTTTATCCTACTACCCCCGCAAGTGACAGTTCTTTCGCAACCTCTTCAAAGAGAAAGGCTGGCTTTTTGTATCTGTAAATTTCATATGTAAGATTAATTTGTTATATTAAGATCCATCATTTAAAGTAAATTGAACTTTCATTGGTAAAATCTGCTAATGAGTTTTATACTGAAAGACTGCAAATTTTTCAATAGCCATGGAAGTAGTTTCCCATATATAAATTTAGCGACCAAAATATTTTAGTAGGGAGAGATAATGATTTGTGTTGCAATGAATATTGATCAGAGGATTAGAAATTTATTATCCTAGATTTTCTCTTAACTTTGTCATACACAAAATGTATAAAATGCATGGTTGAAGTTATATTATAATGTTAAAAAGTAAAAAGAAAGGTAAGTCAAGGGGTTTTGGACTTAATGAAAGATATGTGACTATTTAAATTCAATTTGGCATTTATAGTAGATAACTAAAATTAACCAAGAAAAACTGAGAAGAATCACAGGCTTGTCTTTCTCTCTAACGAGCTTGTCAGGTATTCCTCAAGACGATATAAAAATATATTGTGTTATACTTAATTCTGTGTGATGTTTCACTCTTGGAAAATAATGGCTCTAATATAATATAATAATTCAGAGAAGTTTGCAATCTGAATTTTGAAAGCTGTTGTCTTTCATGTAATAACTGATTATTTTTATATGAATTCTATTATTTAATTAGTGATATTCTTATCAAAGATCCTAGATAATTGATGCACTGTGATGTATGTTCTGTTAGTGTTAAGTCTACTAAAACAATAATTCTTCTACAATTAAAAAATACCTATATTGGTTATGGTTTCAGGTAGCATTAAGTATACTTTATTTTTTAATCAACAGGATGAAACCAAGGGAGATTATGAAAAAATCCTGGTGGCTCTCTGCGGAGGAAACTAAACATTCCTTTGATGATCTCAAGCCCTTTGATCAGAAGGCTTTTTAATCATATCTTTTCATTCCATATCATAGACTTTAATAGGAGAGTTTCTTCAGCAGAACTGCAGTCTAGCTAACTCCTTCCTGAAAAATAGAGCCTATTAATCACTTTTTTTTGTATTACAACTCTACATAATAGAGATAAGTTTTTTTAAACTATATTTACCTCAAACTATAAAACCCCATAAACAGGTTGTTCTAGTAACACTGCTTGCGTGAGATGTTTATGTTGCAGAAAATAAAGTGATTTTACAGGACAACTGGTCTGCCGTCAGCTCTTTTATTCTGATTTTCTTTTGTGTGTGATGCAGTGGTTTGATGCGGTATCAAGGGACAGGGGCCTGAATTCTAAATTATAATCATGTAATGAAATAAACGTCACAGATTAAATTAAATATTCACAAAGTTAGAAAGTGAACATCCTACATTCTACCATCTGAGTACAGATTATTGAGAGCGTCTCTGTACAATAACGGATTTACTGCATCAGCATTGTGACAATTAGACATTCAGCTATAGTTCATGAACCAGCATAAAGATGAAATGGCAACAGCTATAAAAATTCGTCACTTTTAAAAAAATGGTAGCTGCACGTTCAGTTTTCTGAGAAACCATCAAACTGTTTTCCAGCGTGGCTGAACCATTTTACTTTTCTATCATAAATGTACGAGTAATCTAGTTTCTCTAAAACCTCAGCAGCACTTGGTATTGTCACTATGTTGTTTTTTGGGGCATGATTTATTTTTTATTGTTGAATTCTGAGACTTTATATATTCTAGGTATTAGTCCTTTCCCAAATACGTGGTTTGCAAATACTTTCTCTCAGTCTGTAGCTTGTCTTTTTATCCTCTGAATAGGTAGTCTTTCTCAGAGGAAACATTTAAAATTTTTCTTTTCATTGATTTTGTTTTTGGTTTCACATCTACAGACGCTTTACCTAACCTTACAGCCTGAAAAACTTCTCCTGTTTTTGCCTTTCTAACAAAGCTTCAGCTAGTGTTCAGACATCAGTTCTTCCAAAAAGTCGTCTTTTGACACCTGAATCTAGGTTAGGTCTCCCTCCTCCAAGCCCCCATAATACTGTACTGTAATTGCCTGCTCATTTGCACTTAACTGTTTTCTAGGTTTCAGAAGGGTAGAAACTGTGTCTGTTTTATTCACTTCTATTTTTCTAGTAGCTACCCCAGACTCTCTTAGGTAATAATATACTTAAATCTTTAAATATAAATAAATGAACAAACACAAAGCAGGTAGCTGGTATTTTGTATTTGCAGAAAAAACTTTTCCTTCACCCTTCCTCGTCTGATACATGAGTTTTTGTGAACCTATGGTGATTTTGTTAAAACACACACAGAGACTCGTTGGTTTTGGCATGGAGGACTAGAAACTATATACTGTCAATGGAAAATTTCTCAAACTACATAATAATAGAATTTTCAACGATCTATATAAATCTAGGAACAGTACAAAAGAGACTATATTTACTGCAAAATCATCCATCCCCCATGTATTAATAATTGGCCTTTCATGCTTTTCTATCTGGGCTAAGCACACATTTGGTCTACATACTTCATCTATGGCTCAAATGTCTCATAGGCTTCTTGATTCTTGCTTCTATATTAGTTTTATCTACCCTCATTTGTTTATTTTTCTTCTTATTATTAAATAATAAAGCAAATACTTAGCATGGTGACCCACCTCTGCTCTTTGCATCCTCAGTAACACTTGGCACCAGAGTGTCTAGCTTAAGTCTTTGAGCTCCACTTCCTTTGACTTTTTTCTTTCTCTTTACTTCCTGTTCCTATATGCCTCATATGGAATGCACAGGGACAATTTTTATGTATGTATCAGTTAATTTTGTGACCTTCTGTAATTAACAGAAAAGATGACTAACAGTGGCTAAATAGATTGTTTTTTTTAACAAGAAATCAAGGAGAAGACTGCTGCTGGCATTGGGCCAGAGACTGAATATCAGGAAATCCTGAGATCATTTGGCATCTTTCTTATGTAGGCTACCTCATGATCTTAAAGTGGCTTCCCGAGATCCAGACGTCATGTCTAGGTTCATCATGTCTAGGAACTACTTAGGTTCCCTGAACCAATTCTTCTGCTTAGAAACAAAGCTGGACGATTGTGTGTGTACATGATGGTGTAAAGCAACAGGTCTCTTCGAGCTTAAATGTTAAGAGTATCAGTTAGGTCTGGTTGAAAGCAAGATAAACGAATTTGTTAACTTATGAAAGAATGAGTGTGTTGGAGTAAAAGGGACTGAGAATGGGTAGAAGGCTAGGGGTCCAAGTTTAGAAATAGGCGAGAAAATTGGGAGCTGTGAAGGAATGAGAAACAGGAGAAAAAAAAAGTATAGCAAATTTCCATGCTCCCACATCCTAACCGGGAGACCACCACTCTGCTGTCACCAAGACCGCTGCGGGAAGTCACCTCCAAACCTCTCTCTTCCTGGCTAGGCAGGTCTGGCTAGAGGAATCTGCAGTTGTCGTCAGCTGGAGCTGGAAAACCGAGGGCTCACAGGCATCTTTCTATATATGATAATTTCAGGCGTCTCCAGCACACTAGATTGAGTTTCCTCACAGCATGGTAGCTCAGAAGAGTAAGCTGACTGACCCAGGAGCTCAGGGCTCCAACAAGAATGCTCCAGCTACCGAGGCAGAAGCTACATCACCTTTTATGACCTAGCCTCAGAAGTCTCACATTACTTCTCCACATTATTTTGGTTACAAGCAAGTCATATGCCTGCTCAGATTCAAGTGAAGAGTAATTACACTTTACCTCTTAAAGGGGGAAATGGCACAAATGAACTTATTTACAAAACAGAAACAGGTTCACAGACACAGAAAACAAACTTTTGGTTACGAGGGGGGAAAGGGAGTGGGAAGGGATAAATTGGGAGTTCAAGATTTGCAGATGCTAACTACTATGTATAAAATAGATACACAATAAGTTTTTTCTCTATAGCACAGGGAACTATAGTCAGTATCTTTTACTGATCTATAATGAAAAAGAATATGAAAATGAGTATATGTATGTACGTGTACGACTGAAACAGCTGTCGTACACCAAAAATGGATGCAACGTTGTAAACAAAAACAGGAAGTGGCAAGGTCCCAGATGTTCTGGGGAAGAATAGAGATATTGTGACAGCCATCTGGGGGGAAGAAGACACTCTGTGTGTAGGACAACAGCATGTCACTACATTCCATGTGACATCGTTCGCAATGTCCTCCCCGGAGTGGCTGTGCAGATTCACAAACTGTCACTGCTTTAAAAAACTGTCAAGATTCTCCTATTCTGATTATTTAACTACAAGACAAAATAATACACAGATATCCATTTTGGGAAATATTTTTATGGGGTGCTTACAAGGTACGTTCAATTTATTGGCACAACCGTCTCATAGTTGAAAAGATCATACTCAGCGAATGAGGGTCGAGAGCAATAACGATTTTTTTTCTCTTTGTGGAAGTCACGGGATATTACTGGTAAAGAAGAAGAAGAGGACATTTGTGGGTATTTGCTAAGGGTTTATTGTAATACGAGAGCACAGTGGTATAGAGGGTAGTGACGTCGGAGCCACAGAGATCTGAGTTCTGATCTAGCCTCTACCACTTATTAAGTGACCCCAAAGAGAGTAACAACTTTTCTTGAGCTGGAGTGTCTCATCAGTGAAATGCTACAACTACAGCTGGTGCTGCCTGCCTTACAGAGCTGCTATAACGATTAGACATAATGGAGTTAAAGTGACTAACACTTAACAGGTGCATAAAAAACTGGGGGAGCAGCTAACACTAAAACACCTAAGAGAAACTGAAAGAAAATCACTGCTTTCAAATACTAAGGTAATTGGTGATGAGAGGCCAAACAGTCAACACGTTTGACTGCGGATTGTTTTTCATCCATTTCTTTCGCTATAGATGATCTAGATCTTGGAGAGATTAAACTGGGATTAAGCTAATTCTTAGTGCCACGCCGAAATGACTTTAAGAAGTTGAACTATCTGAAAAGAAATCCTTGTACTGGAGTTTGTGTACCTGCTTCAGGCTGAGCCAGAAATACAGGAAAAGAGAAGTCTTTTGAGTCTGGAAACCTAAAATGCAGTCATGTGGAAACAGTCCTTTCCTGCGCTTCACCAGTAGAAACTAGGGATATTGACTGAGTAGCCAAAGTGACCCACCTGCCAAATCCTTTCTTTAGCTTTGATGTATAAACAATGCGTCTTCTTGCAATTATTACCACTGTTTGTTTTTTTGGCGCTGAAGACTGATTCAGAGGGGGTCAGTGTGTTCACCATCATAATTCAGAATTGGTCAGGCTGCTTGATTCAAATCCAGCCCTATCACTCACTGACCGTGAGGCTTGGCCAAGTTTCTTACCTTTCCTGCGCCTGTTTGCTCATCTGTAAAATAAGGATATTGATAGCTGTGATGAAAACTAAACGAGAGAATCAGCATCTAGCTCACAGAGAGAACTCAGCGAATATTGATACAAGTAGCTGCTGCAACGCGTATCTGCCAAAGAAACCTTCCTCGAGTGTGAGAACGCATTATGAAATGTCCTGTGATGTCAGAGATATCAGGTCACGTCGAGGGACTGCGAAGATAAATGAAATGAGATTTCCCGCATATGGTAAATTGTGATAGATCATATTCTTTGTATTCTTGCCTCACTGTAGATTATTAAGCTCAAAAGTGTCATCGTTTCAAGGAGTGGAAAGCTTATTTACTGCCTGTCTTTTCCTGTGGCTCTGGAACTGCAAATGGGTCCAAGGTAAAAGTAGGAAAAATACCTGTAAAAAAGGAGCAGAGCAGAATCCAAAAACTTGGGTGAGAGAGGAAGGAAAGGCAAGGGAAATGGCGTGAATATATCTCTACATCAAGAATCTCACTGAGGGTGAAAAGATGCTCAGTATCGTTAATTAGCAGAGAAATGCAAAGCAAAATCACAGCGAGGTATCACCTCACACCGGTCAGAATGGCCATCATCAGAAAGTCAACAAATGATAAATGCTGGAGGGGCTGTGGAGAAAAGGGAATCCTTCTCTATTGTTGGTGGGAATGGATTTTGGTGCAGTATGGAAAACAGTAGGGAGATTCCTCAAAAGACTCAAAATGGACTTACCATATGATCTAACAATCCCAATCCTGGGCATATATATGGAGGAAGCTCTAATTTGATAAGACACATGCACCCCAATGTTCATAGCAGCGCTACTTACAATAGCCAAGACATGGAAGCTACCTAAATG